TGATATTGTTCTCCATTTATATTTATGTATACATTTTGAATTCCTAGTGGGTGGAAAGGAGTTCGTCCCTAAAATTTATATGCCCTTAATCGGTATTATAATACGTATTACAACCAACATATTACTTTCGTTGGCTTTGAAGCACACTCCACGATTCGTACGCTGGAGTAATTTCTTTGGTAGGTGGGACAGAGGATACTGTACACACACTGATCCTTGAATGTACGGTAGAGGGGCGCCAGGGCTCTGCCAATAGTCCCGGTTACTTATTATAACTGGCTCTCCCAGTGCAGTGGCCGTATGTCTGCGCCCTCTCCGTACTAAGTGCTCTCTCACGCATTCTCTCCTCGACTCGCTATGCATCGCTGCCGTACCGCGGTCGACTTCACTAAAAAAGGAGGCCCTCAATTTTAGTGTTCTGGAAGGGTTGTTTGCTATGTTCTCCACTGACGATCATCTCCACACATTTATATTCATGTTCATGTGCAATAGTCACACCAATTTGATCGTGGGGTGTGCCTTTAAGTGACATTTCACTCATACCTGTAATTACTTTTTGCTAATGAAATGAAAAAAGCAGTAATAATGCATTTTTGGAATGGTAATAGAAGACTTTTGCAGATTATGCCACACATTCACAGCGAGGAGTTCCACAAAATTCACACCGAGGAGTTCATGAAATATCAAGCCTACTGTTACTCCCATCCGGACTCCGACATCTGCACCCAAATGGAGGTGAGTATTTTCCGATCCTTAGATACATACCGGGATTTTTCAAAGAGCATTATTTTTCGTCGTGACCTATTAAGGCTGGAGCACTAAGGCCTTAGGACCAAGCATATGTCCGCCCACACCATACATCCCGCCTCCAAATCAAAATTATTCCCCTTCGCTGCTACTGAAGAGGGAGAGGGCTTCAATTACGTTCTTGTCGACGGTTTCTTCCCGTTTTCTTTGACTGGCGTTATACTTAACACCTCCACTTTCGCGTACAAGCGCAATAACATTTCGGTTTGATCCCGGGCATTGCCTTTAAGTCACCATAAATGACCGAAGCGCTTCATCTTCACTCAAGTTTTCATAAAAGCTGAATTGTGTAGTATTAGTAGGCTTGCTTGAAGGCGTTGATCACGGAAGAGCGAGAAAATGTTGAGATCATGAAGTATCGAGTTAGTTTTCCAGAAACGCATCTCAGAGCAGCACCAAATCACTGAGAAGGACGTCTCTCAGCTGTGCGTGTCCTTACATCGCTACCGTATTCCTTTTGCAACAGCCTGATCAATACGTTGCGACAGAATGTGAGTAATCAGAATTTCACTATTACAGAGGTCTCAAATAAAATTTAATTAGTGTTGGACTTATGGGCTGAACTATTGAAACCCCACGCCTCATGTTCATATTGCTCGCCCACGCCTATGCTCGGGTGACCTCTCTGAGCGTTACATCCTTGCCATGAAAAATTCGAAATAAGGGGCCTTTCTCTCTGGTGGCGTAAACTTTGGCTTTCAGGCGTAGGGTCGCCTTTCAGAAATACCTAATCACACCCTGAATTGCCCTTTTTGTCGTCGCAAACACTCTGCAGGAAGCTTTGACTCAGGATAATTCCTTTTTAGCGTGAGTCGTGACTTTTGGAATGCGTTATATATTTCCATTCAATAGTAGGGGCATTCAAGTGTTTGAAACAGTTACTGGGGAGGGGAGGTGGAGGGGAGAGGAGGGAATGGGGAGCGGCCGATGATGTGTGATAGAAATCATTGTTTTCATCTTCCCAGATGAGACTTGCTGCAGAGATATCAGGTAGACAGAAGCCTTGGATGGTCTAGGCGAAACGGATTGGGATTCACGAAGATTTCCTTTCATTTGGGTTTCTTTGGTATGGATATGTGGTACGGTATGTCATCATAGCACCTCTAGCTAATCATCGGAGATAAAAGGGTGATGAGGGGGTATTTGTTTTATTTTGACTCATTGTTTACAATCAGAAATAAGAAATATTCATGAATCACAAGTGCTCGCTTTATATCTCCCGTTTATGTCACACAACGGTCCTATCTAATTGTCAAGCTTTCAGCATGACGCCGAAGAATGCAAGAAGGACAAATCCAATTCTGGACCTTTTTTGATGATTTTTGGAGGGCTACTACTCTGTTGGGTGTAGGAAGGTAAGAGTGGCAACAAAAGGCTGATTTCGTTTCCCTTTACGTGCCACCTTCTTGTTTCCTCCATGGAGAGTTCATCTTCAGAACTGTGCCATTCTCACTAGGGCTACCTTTGATGGACGACAATGTGAAGAAGCACAATCTTCCACTATATTTTGGTAAGTGCCTGTCTGGCAGCTTCGCTCATGGTCCTTAGGACTGAAAAATTGATATGCCTATGTTTTTTCAGCATGCATGTTCTTTGCGAAGATTCTCGGACCGGTACTCGGATTGCTTCTCGGGAGCAAGCTCAATGAAATCTACTACACTTTGATCGTAAGCGGTTTTCCGGACCTTCTTTAAAGTTCATCATCAACGTTGGAGAAGTAAAACAGAATTAGTAGGGGCCTGATCTCGGGCCGAGCTGCGAAAATCCTGCGAACCGGGGCTGAGAAAATTCTCACCTCTGAAAGTAAAAGTGCCGATTTCATGATGAAATTTTGCGCTTGCTTGGAAATACTATCTGCTGTCTACCAAAGCGGCTACTCATAAAAAACCAAAAAAAGAAAAAATTTGTCTAGCGGTTAGATAGGTGGACGTTATGGGACTCAATGAGATGGTTCAGCAGCTGGTCAGAGTAACGCAGAAAGAATAAAATTGCCTGAGAACCACCAGAATCGCACTGCATCGATAATCGCTAAGCGGCGATGTTCACACTCGCGCCCTTTGGTTCTTATTGCGTCGATCATGTCTTCGTCTACTTCACAGGCAGGAAGAGGATATTAGACAACCAATGGGAAGAAGTGTAGGAGCAACCAAAAAGAAGAAGGCACGGCGGAGCAATTGACCTCCGCTCAGTCTCATATGTAAATACCCACAACATTATTTTTGTGAAATCGTTTTAGCAATTAGTTGCTCTTTCACGGGAATAAAAAGGATAAAGGATAAAGCATTTGCCGTTGATCAATCCCTTTTTGGGATGCGGCACGCATTCTACTTCCATTTGTACATTCGTAGTGGCGTTTGAATGCGATGTGGCCTATACAATGACTTGCGGGGGCCAGCCGATCAAGTCAGTGTTTTTATCCTCCCAGACAAGTCTGGTACCAATTAACCGACCCCGGAGGGATGGAAGGCTTGGTTGGCCCGGGCGACTCACGACCCAGGAATTTGACCCCCGCGACCGTCGACGTAGTTAGCGCTTCAGTTGACCTCTAACACTCGCCTTCCACGGAATTAGGAATTGGAAGAGTTAAGCTTCCTCGAGTGACAGAACTCTTTCCTTGTTCTATAATAGATGCTTAATTCAACGCTCATATGAACCGCATGTTACAGCTCCACATGGTTTGACTCCTTTGGATCCTATGTGGATTGGTTGCTGGTGGCTTGGATTCGTTATATTCGGGTAAGCGCTGCTAGCAGTTCCTTAATTTTCTGGTTTTCCACTTCTGTAGTCCTCACACAACTCCGTTCCGGAATGATTTACGCCTTTGCAATTGTTAAATTCCAAAAACTATTAAGTTCCCTTATTTTAGAGTTGTGCTGTTCTTCCCGTCGTTGGCTCTTTTCCTGTTTCCTTCAGATCGCCTGGATGAAAGCAACGTCAAGGTTTATCCGAAAGATGCGACTATCGACGGAACAGCGTGAGTTTAGGCTTGCCATTTGAAAGGAGTTGGCTCTTTCAGCTTATTTCCCCACCTCCTAAGGCCAATATCTCCCAGTACGCATAATAGCAATATATAGAAAATGAAGATCTGATATGTTTCTAATTACAGGCCACTTAAACCAAGGAAGACGCTAAATCTTTACGACAAGCACGTCAAAATCCATGGCAAGCATGTGACAGCAGGAGAGAAGATGAGTGGTACGTTTGATTTGCTTCTATTCTTAGCAGCAGACTGAAGGGAAAAAATGATTAAAGCTTCAAGATCTCAGAGCGCCTCGAAAAATAGGTAGGACTGTGAAGGATTACCGTAGTCAAGTACCACATAAACTGATCGTCAACTCTTTCTCCATCTGGCGACGGCCAAACGCTTCTGAAGAGAAAACTACAGGTTTCAGACAAAATGTAGCATTTTACAGAGTTCTTGGTCGCAGCCCGATCACTGTTTCGCAATCCGATCTACGTTGGAGCAATGTTTGGCCGAATCATTGACGTACTAGCATTCAAGGGGTATGTCTATTCACAAATTTTTTGCTCACCAGTACAAATCTAGCAGGCGAACTTTGGACTTAACCACTAGACAATAAGTGGATATGCTTAGTAGTTGGGCGCTCATGTCGTTTCGTTTGGGGAGGGGGGGGGGGGGCGTCACTCTCGTGAGTGAGCCAGTTACAGTACTCGAGTTAATGTGTCGTTGCTTGTGATGCTTATCTATTTATTTATTCATTTACCTACATATTTTCCTTATTACCGCCTCAAAATTCGTCAGATGCTGCGTCAACTGCTGGTAAGGTTATTTGGGCAGCTTCGAAGGTGTGATGTTTTATAACTGTGATTCAGTTCTTTGTTTTTCTTGGCAAATATTTGGAAATCCAATTTGGCGTGCCACAATACAAAGTGCAGAAATACCTAGGTAAGTTGGGAATAATTCAAAAATTAGATGTTTTCTTTGGGTGTATTATACAGGGGGGGGGGGCAAAAAAAAGAGTCACTTCTCTCCACATTCAAAACGCAATTAATCTCGAACTGCGAAACCAAATCAAATGAGCCAATTGCATATTAAAGAGCACATTCAAGTCTATCAAAAGGTTCACATGACAGCCTTCTACACTGACGACATCAGAAAAAATGTATTCACGGTACGAGCTCAACGAGGTCGTCGAGGTACCATAGACCATTACGACGTCCCTGAAACGCCTGGTCAAAAGCGGTCTTGCACAGTCACAGCTAGTGTCTCTGGGAAGCTATTCACCGCTTAACCGATTGAAGAAATTAGGTTGCAGCTTCAGGCCGGAGCGATTACGGTAAGCCCCGTTGAGCTTGACGGCGACGGCAGATGACGTCATATTCTGAAGACCGTGAGGGCATTGAAGTAGGGGCTGCTTCTGCTTATGGGGGGACACCTAAGGAATATTCTGCCGTAAAACATTCATTAGCTGCGGCATTCTGTGCGAAGAAAAATTTGATGATGTGCGCCATAGGCAAAGTGACTCTTTTTTTGCCCCCCTCCCCCCTGTGTACTGCTATGATTCACTTTTCAACTAGGATACCATTTTTAGCCAGCACTGGCATTGTTGGATTTGGCTGCGGAGTCATGATAGGAAGTGTGATGATGAGAAAACTTCATTTGCAAGGTGAGAAAAATTTACCGCTTAATTTTCCTCCTATTTCGCTCGGCTCAACATGAAACTTTGAAAAACTGATATTGCCGCGAGGTCCACCCACAATTACGAGCGAGTTCTATATAACCGCTGGAGTCCGTTTTCAAAATAAGGCTACTAATATTGCTTCGCGAAATTCTTTGCAAAAATGTGCCTCAAAGGAGGATTTTAAGATGAGGTCGGAAGTCGAAGAGGAGGAAATTAATCCATTCGTAAGCCACTAGGGGAGCGGGTCGATGCGCCTTCTGCAACGAACAGAATGCTCCCAGCACTGCTTCGAAGGACCGCGCCGCTTGCGCTTGCGCACGCCCACCGATAGGCATACTCTTGCTGTCGGACACTAGCCGTTCAGCCAGAGAGAGAGAGCGTGAGCGTTGAAGAGGGCAGCGCCGATGAGACTCAAATCAAGGCGGAAATCAGGTTCTTGTGCTTTGAGCTGAGTATCATAGTTTTTTCTTCGTACCCGCACCACTGACCACTTTGATTTCTGAAGGGTTCCTTTGTTATTGTAACGTTTGGAAAAAAAGGTTAAAATCCTCTGTTTTTTCTTTGCCCATATCCCAAGTCTCAGCCCGAGATACCATACTTTAAGCAGAACATCCTTCGTGCAAGAAATGGAGGCAAGGAGGAAAATCTTTGCTCTCCTCCCTCCTTGTAGCTGGAACGCAAGGCCGTTCACCCCAATGCTGCCCGCGACAGTCGCTCGTGTTCGCGTCCCTGCTCCCTCTTCATGCTTCACCGGAAACAAAGCCAGACCTCACACGCGGCACAAAAAACTAAGGACATATTGCATTTTCACGTTCATGTCTGCCTAAACGTATTTTCAATACCATTGCAATCCGTGGGAGCAATTTTGAGGAACTACTCATTCAGGACGAAGAGCTGCGACATGGGTTGCTGTATGCTCGCTGGTCGCCGCATTGTTGGGTTTCGCAAACGGTGCTGTCGGTTGCAAGTCTGTGATTGGCAAAATTGGAGATCAAGCCATGTAAGTATTTTGAGAATCTCATGGAATTTATTCCACTTACCATACTGTCTTTTAAATCATAGTACTCGTTATAAGCACCAAAAGGTTATGTAAGTAATGCTGAAAAATATTGGTGAGTACACCTGAATCATAATTGTATGGAAAATGTATGCGAAAAACAACAATACTTTTGGATTGTTGATGCCATCTAGAGGGTCCTGAAACTCTGGTTATCCTTTATATTTATGCGCAAAATTGTGAAAGCCAGCCTGACGCCGCCTTAACTGAATCACCCTGTTTCAAAAAGAAAATGGCAAACATCGAGTGAAGACGTAAATATCGATTACTTCTATAAGATGTAATGAAAGTGGTCCAATCATCACTTTATTGAAATCGTTTCAGAGCCAACAACTTCTCGTTCCCTCTTGTCGGAAAGATTGCGTTTGTGATGGCATGCCCTTCTATCCGGTATGCAATACCAAGTGAGTTATTGATATTTTTTATTCAAAATATTTCTATGAACCAGGAATAAGAAGCATTTCTATAGCGGTTTTGCTACGACTAAGCTAACAACTAATGACTGGTGATCGTTGCGGTCTTCATGACTTCAGTGAAAGTCTTTCGGTGAAAGGGTATTAGGCGAGCCCCTAGCACCCCTTTAATTTGTACTCCACCAATAACCTTCAATGACGCCATCAAAACCGCCACGCCCTTCAGCCATCGTGACTCACTGCCTGAAAATAACTTAGCTGTAACCAATCTATTTCGAGTCACTGATTGGTAGCACATAGATTATCATCTATGCTCTACCAATCAGTGACTACCGTTCAGTATTAACGTGGTGGCTTTCCGTCATTGACCTATTTAGCCCAACACGAGGTGATTGTGTGTGGTGGTATGCACCGCTTATCATGTGCATTGGATCTAATTTTGGGACGATTGACGCCCACATCAACCCGTCCTCCGCTTGAATTCCAAATAATGCTAAATTCACCTAAATGAATAAGACTATTGACAGTTGACTAGGTCGAATTGTAGCTTCAAATGCCGCTAGGATTGTGAAAAGAGGTAGATAGCGTGGCGCATCCTCGAAAAACCTGACCTACGTAGCACCGAATGGGTCACCCTTTCGTTTACCGCAACCGTCGACATGAACTAAGCAGGCGATACACATGGTGATGTTTCTATCCTTGAAGACGACCGTCTGGTTCTAAAATGGCCCGGATCAAATCCCATCAGAGCTTCTATCATCCAACCCTGTTTGTGGTCTCGTACAGCCTTGTCAATTACATTACTTTCGCTCAATAATAAAAGACAGTCGTTTTCAGAGGAGACGTATTCTACTCGCCTTGTCAAGCCGGCTGTCCACTGAGTGGAGCGAATTTTAGTATTTATTCAAAGGTGAGCCCTCTATGGGATTCCCTCCATGGAATTAGAGTGTAGTCACTGAGTTTCCAAGCCCTTATTTCCTTTCCTTTTCAGGCTGAGAAAGGGGTACCATTGACGTTCACAGAATGCGAGTGTGCCGGAACTGATGATCTAGCAGTCAGCAGAAATTATTGCCCAACTGGTATGTTTAGCAATTTTCAGCGTTTTATGTTCATTTTATTCTCACGGCTAGGCTAAACAATTTTTTTTCCAGAGCACTGTGATAGACAATTTCACGTCTTCCTCATCGTAAAGATCATAGGAGCACTTTTCGGTGGTCTGTCGGTCGTTCCGGGAATGTTAATTGTTCTGCCGGTAATTCCTCTTAATAGAAGTTGCAATTCTTAATGTTATAATTACGATTATTCTGTGATCTCTTCAGGGCGGTACCACCAGAACATCGCAGTATCTCCCTAGGTTTTCACGGGTTCCTCGTGAGTTTACTAGGTAAGTTTTCTTGCTTGCGTACGAAATTTTAAAGCTCTTCAGCTAGAGCCCACGAAAATGGTCGCAAAAGTCAAGTAAGGGGTTGGAAGGGTGGCTCCATCTTGAATTCCAAAATGGCCGATGACTTATTTGATTAGGTCGCCACTAGGAGTTCAGATGTGTTTCCTATCCTTGTAAATGCAAACTTGTCACCAGTTAGATAAGCCCCATAAGGGCAAATAGCTTGAAGGCTAAAGTGGCCCAACCGTGCATTGCGCATTTCCGAATGGGGGGGGGTGGGCGGTACTGGATTTTTTCGGAGGTGGGCGATCATAGAGAACGTCCTTAAGGCTGATGGTGGCGGTGAGGGTCGTATCGAGACTTCTCTGAGGGTTGGCGAATTTCTGAAACTGGAACAAGGGAGGCTTGCCTTTGGGCTGAATTGAGTGGCATGTTATCAAATGGAGTGCGGAAGGATAGCGTGGACAAAAATAAAGCACCCGATCTGCACTTCCGACCACTACTACGCACTTTCGTTACCTACTGTGAGCAGTCGTCAAATGCATGGCTTATCCTAAGGCGTTTAATTCTTTGATTTCCAGCCACTCTACCATCTCCAGTGTTCTGGGGTAAGATCTTCGACATGAGTTGTCTGATGTGGCAGAACGTGTGCACTAAAACTGGTGCATGCCCGATCTACGACACAGATCAACTTCGAATAAGGTATACGGTAGACCAATAGATTTCATGAATACTGTGGCAGAAACTGTGTTCATTCAGATTGCATGTGATCTATGGCAGTCTACGACTTTTCGCTCTGTTCTCCGATATCTGGGTGGTATACTGGGCGAAAGGTCTGAAACTGGTAGACGAGGAGGACGAGTCGTCAAAAACCAGTGATGGTGGTGACACTCAGGAGCTTGGGCCACTCACCAAAGGCGGCGCAAAAGCTGTGTTGCCGAAAGCCGTCGTCGACAAGGACTACAGTAACAAAGAGTAATAGGAAGTGTGTATAACGTCACGTCGTCACGATTTTACGGAATTATTTTGATCAGAAGCGGGTATTCTCGGTTATAACATATATTGCGAGAATTTGTGGATGCCATATGATAAATACACCACGTTACACTTGTTTTTGTATGGAGCTAGAGATTTCAGCCGAACAAAACTGAGCCAGAATTGTATGAGCAGCCCTAGGGCGGTGGGCGTTCTGAAAATTATGAAGGGAAGAGCGGAAACCCTGTTGTTCATTATTACCTTTCTGCAAAGGCCATTCGGCCTGGCCCGTTGGACGGGGGCTCATCTCCCTTTTCGGGGAGGGGGTTGCATTTGAAGAAATGGCGTCGAATCCTTTTGGATGACATTGGAGAAGGATATTCGTATGAAGTGGGGAAAATTTATTGGGAAATTAGGATGCATTTCGAAATGGTCGCGATTCAGCTGCAAAAAGTTGATTCTGAA